AAAGACTATTGGAAGCAGCTGAGTTTGTTAATAACCGTGGATTCGCTCGGTTAATAACCCGATCTTTTTTAAGAAGATGTCGAGCGTGTATTGCGGCTGAAGGAAAACAGTTTGAGCATTTGCTGTAAAGGTAAATCATCATCAGCAGCATTTTGACGCCCACTGTTGTGCAAACAGTTATCTTTAAGGGTCCTTGTGCGTTTTCATAATTGCTGTTTAATTAGGAAATTTTGAAAAATTTTCATCAGTTTTTTTTTCAAATAAAAATTGTGCATAAGTTAACGAGTAATCTTCTAAGTGTTATACCATTTTGGAATCGTTATTAAATGCGCCAACTTTTAAGGTTACTTGCCAAACTCTCGTAGTACATTTTTTTCCAGTACAGCCAGTTAAAGTTGAGCAAAGTTTTACTTTGGAATACTTGGTTTTGAAATAAGTGGCAATTTTTCCTGAACGAGAAAAGTTGGCAGTAAGGTTGAGACACCAGTTTGAAGATGCATTATTCATCATTACATTGTAAAAATAAAATCCAAAAAAAGTTAATATTTGTAGTAACAGGAGTTGACAGACTGCCGTAGGGTGTGAAATTTCTTCTGGTCTATATCCATAAAGGTGAGTGTAATAACATTATATTTAAAAAACTAATCAACTTTCATTTGAGTGGGTTTTGCAATTTCATGTCGATTATTAGATAACAAGAATTTTCTTATTTCAATTTTGAATTTCTTTTTATTTGAAATGGATTTTATATGGCTTGGTAAAAAGTTGTAAAATCTACTGGAGAGGTAAGAAGCATCTTTGATCTAAATTTTTTGTGTTGTTTTAATATCTTGTTTCATACTTGTGATCCAATGAAATGAAAGGTTTGTTTTTTTTTAGCAAATTGATAACATTGTAAAAAAAATAATTTTCAAAAATTGTTTTTGGGTTATTTCTACCTTCTTAATTTGGTTGGTAAGAGCACCACCCCAAGCTAGTATGGCATAATTTAGGCGACATTCAATAAGTGCATGATATAACAGCTTCATTGCTTCATGGTCGAGATATTTAGTCAGGAACCTGAATTTGAATAATAATCGTCTCAAATTAGTTGTTATATGATCAACATGGAAATTCCACAATTAATTTGTAAAGAGGTAAATGACGGTAATTCATTTTCAAGGTTTGTGAACGGCATATATACTAAGTGACATATAAATCCGAACACCCAGTTTAAATGGTTTTATTTTAATAAAAGTTGGTGAATGTATTTATCTTACTGTAAATAACAAGTGAACAAATTTTCAGCCTTATCAGTTGGACATTCCGGTTTTTATACTGCTTTTTTTAATTCACTAACGCTCTAAAAATGAATATTTCAGCCGCAGTAAAGAATCAACGTTGGCGGATTTTGGTTCTTGACATCCTTTACGATCGGTTACGATGCCTAGAGTACGGAGACCTGTACGATTTCGTCAACTTAGTGAGTTTGATAGGGGCCGTATAGTGTGACTTCGGGAAGCTGGACTTTCTTTTCGGGCAATTGCAGTTAGAGTGCAAAGAAGTGTATACACTGTGGTTAGGTGTTGTCAGGCATGGCTTCGAGAAGGCCGTACGCAAAGAGCAAGGGGCACTGGACGCCGCCGTAGAACAACAGACCGTGAAGATCGCCGCCTAAGATTATTGGCCTTAAGGGACCGTTTCTCCACTACCAGGTCCATTGCAAATGAATGGTTTGCTGAACACGGAAGACCTATTGGCATGCGGAGTGTTTACCGACGAATGAGAAGTTTTGGCTTGTTTTCATACCGGCCACACTGGGTCCTCCCTTTAACTCGAGAACACCGACGTAATCGCCTTGAGTGGTGCAGACATCGGTCACTCTGGGATCAGGAATGGAACAGTATTGTCTTTAGTGACGAGTCTCGATTTTGTTTAGGCATGCACGATGGTCGTGCCAGGGTTAGAAGGCGACGTGGTGAAAGGAGGAATGCACAGTTTTTTGTTGAAAGACATGTTCATCACACTGTTGGAGTGCTATAGCTTATGGTTCCAGGTCACCTTTAATCTTCATCAGAGGTAACATGAACGCGCAGCGTTATATCCACGAAGTTCTAGAACCCCATCTTTTACCCTATCTTGACACCCTGGCAGATCCAACTTTCCAACAAGATAATGCCCGACCACATGTTGCAAGAGTCACAATAGACTTCTTTCAACATAACGATGTCACATTGTTACCATGGCCACCAAGATTTCCCGACTTATCCCCAATTGAGCACGTGTGGGATATGATGGGTAGGAGATCGCTCAATTTGCAACGTCCTCCTCAGACTCTAGAAGCACTTCGAGAGGAGTTGGTGGTTGCCTGGAATGAGATACCACAGGTAGGACATTGACCACCTGATCAGAAGCATTCCTAGGCGCGTTGGAGAATGCGTAACACATCAGGGTGCATCCACACATTATTAAAGGTCAAAGGGCTTTAAAGCAGTGCACTCATTTTGAAATTTTTATCATTTACTTATTATGCTTCATTAAGTACTTATACAAAATTTTATTAAAATAAAACCATTTAAACTGGGTGTTCGGATTTATATGTCACTTAGTATACATGGTTTTCTGAAAATTGATGGTTTTGTGTCTAAAACAATCTGAAACTAAAATAATATCATTTCCAACAGTCTCTTTAAGGCTATCTCAGAAATTGTTATTAGAATAAAGTATCGCTGTGTCATCTGCAAAAAATATTATTGTACCTTACGACTCCAGTAGATATACACAGTCAAAAATAACGTCCCTAAAACTGTCCCTTGTCCCACAGTCTTTTCCGAACTTATGGAATAATTTATTTGAAGATATCGCTTTCTGTAAAACAGGTAACTTCTCATAAGGTTTTGAACGGTTCTTCTAATTCCTGCATACGTATAAAGTTTCCAATAGTTGCGAGTGATCCACCGTATCGAACTCTTTTGCTAGGTCTTAGAATATGCATAATGTGTGTTTACTTTGTTCTAATAATAATTTATGAATTTTTGAAGTCAAAAAAGAAACCGCGTCTTGAGTGGAGTTATTTTTTTGAAATCCAAATTGACTTTTATGTATAGTTAATTTTTGTTGAAAAAACTAATGATTTTTTCAATTATCGTTGCCAAATTAGATATTAATCTTATTGGTCGATAATTGCCGGTATTAGATATGTCGCCAGATTTATGAATCGGTGGAATTATTTCTATTTTGCAAGGGTCTGGGAAAACCCCGGATTCAGTTATTAAATTTGTTTGTAGGTATGTAAAAAATACGCGTATTTCGCGGAGTATTGATCTTAACAATGATCTAAAAGACGTGCAGAAGTAAAAGCCATGGACTATTTTGTACAGAAATATAAGGATTGGCTTACTGCTATTACCTAGACTGACAAAATCCACACCAAACAGTATTTTTTTTCGGACGCAACCTGAAGTCACTCAATCGGTCATTTCCGTCAAAGTCAACACAAGTCAAACAAATTCAACCGTAGATTTTATTGAAATGTCAGTGAAATTACGCAAAAAATATCTAATTTGAAACTAAAATTAAACATAACCGAGGCAGCGTGTCGTTATCGGTTCTGTCCTGATTTTATAATCGTTGTCTCGCTACTGGTGCTCAGAGTTATGTCGTATGCACATACTGGGCCAGCGTAGGCCAACATCAATGTGTAAATGCTAGGCCAGTGCGTATTGGCCGGGGTTGGTCAACGTTGGCGGTGAATTATACCAGACCATACCATGATGGATCTTCTGTCAGAATATGACAATAGAAAGTAACGATAGAGGTTGGCAAGGGATTATGTTTGAAGAACAGCTCTTTTGCGATATTACTGGGAATATTGTTTATCAGGATATTAAGTTCACTGTAGGTATTAGTAGAAAGCATATAAGCAAAAGTACCGCATTTTTTGATGCTGTGTGCCTGTGGTAAACTTATAGCGAAAGCATTACAAGACTTCTTTTACTTTCAATAACAAAATTTGTTGACGATGAAGTCGAAGAAATGCTTGAATTGGGTGTGGTAGAGAGATCGAATAGCACTTGACTAGCCCTGATGGTCTTGCCCGTAAAAAAGATGGATCCTTTATATTTTGCATAAATTGTCGCCGATTAGATCTTGTCATTAAGAAAGATAGTATAGCCAGTATATTTCAATTATTTTCGAAAGATTACGAAATGCTCGATTAATTAGTTCCATAGACATTAAATCCGCCTTTTGGCAAGTACCTTGGAGTTCGAAACTACCTAATCGTGAAAGTATGATTTCATTACATATTATATCTTTCTTCCTTAGCGACCCAGTAGTGTGTTGAAGTCTTTTGGACACTGATTTTAAAATATTTTATTAACGATTATCCCAAAAATTTCCTCATAAAATATCGTTGGTCCATCGTGAACTCTTTTAGCAGCAAAATTATTTTGGGAAATAACACGGTTCTGTGTTCTACCCATAGGCAACCAGTGATGTTGCATATGTACGTTCGGTTGCGAACTTTTCATCTCTGAACGCCTTTGTCAGGCTTTTGGAATTGTTTTATTTTCTTGGGCGAAACTCTGTTCGTTATGTCTAGGTTTGGAAACCGGAATTTCCCATTCGTTATTATTTTTTTGGCATCGAATTTGTGGAGTATAGAATCTTGGAACGCCCTCCTACTTTTGACATTGATTGGCAGGCAACAGTGTTATAGATCTGATCTATCAAGGACTAAGAAGCAAGGCTTTGAATTTCCATTAGGTCACATTACACATCGTTAAGAAAAAAAAAATCACAACTTAGCTCCCGGTTCCTTTGAATGTACAGCACCGTACCTCTCAAATTGTCTTCTTAAATCCAGCTTCAAATTTGATTTCGGAACGTTTGATACTAATTTATTTTTTTCTTGCGCTAGATTCAATGAAGCTGAAGTCTACAAAATGTGTTAGCCGTGCTTTCACATATGTAGGTCGTAGGTAAAACGTACCAGACACACGAAACAATGATATACTTACATCACTACGGTGCTTGACATTGAAGTCAATATTCGTCCTTACGGGCCTATGATGCAAAGGCTGTGGTGGCCTGAAGTTATTTCCTAGAGGAGCTTTCGGATGTTTTGAGTCACCTTGCATCAGTCGACGGAGTCCGTGCATCTGAAAGTAATGATAATTTCTTTATACAAGCTCCTAAAGTTGCTAATGAGAACGAGCTTCAGTTTCTGATAATACTAGTTTTCGTGCTTTCTTATAGCAGATGCTCACAAGAGCTATAGTCAAATGGATAGTATCGTGTAGGTTAAAAGTCCCGTAAAAGATTACATGATAAACTAACGTCAACTATCCTTTTTTGAACTCAACATCTTTAGAGTAAATATACTAAGTGACATATAAATCCGAACACCCAGTTTAAATGGTTTTATTTTAATAAAATTCTGTATAAGTACTTAATGAAGCATAATAAGTAAATGACAAAAATTTCAAAATGATTGCACTGCTTTAAAGCCCTTTGACCTTTAATAATGTGTGGATGCACCCTGATGTGCTACGCATTCTCCAACCCGCCTAGGCATGCTTCTGATCAGGTGGTCAATGTCCTCCTGTGGTATCTCATTCCAGGCAACCACCAACTCCTCTCGAAGTGCTTCTAGAGTCTGAGGAGGACGTTGCAAATTGAGCAATCTCCTACCCATCATATCCCACACGTGCTCAATTGGGGATAAGTCGGGAGATCTTGGTGGCCATGGTAACAATGTGACATCATTATGTTGAAAGAAGTCTATTGTGACTCTTGCAACATGTGGTCGGGCATTATCTTGTTGGAAAGTTGGATCTGCCAGGGTGTCAAGATAGGGTAAAAGATGGGGTTCTAGAACTTCGTGGATATAACCCTGCGCGTTCATGTTACCTCTGATGAAGATTAAAGGTGACCTGAAACCATAAGCTATAGCACCCCAAACCATAACTCCAACAGTGTGATGAACATGTCTTTCAACAAAAAACTGTGGATTCCTCCTTTCACCACGTCGCCTTCTAACCCTGGCACGACCATCGTGCATGCCTAAACAAAATCGAGACTCGTCACTAAAGACAATACTGTTCCATTCCTGATCCCAGAGTGACCGTTGTCTGCACCACTCAAGGCGATTACGTCGGTGTTCTCGAGTTAAAGGGAGGACCCAGTGTGGCCGGTATGAAAACAAGCCAAAACTTCTCATTCGTCGGTAAACACTTCGCATGCCAATAGGTCTTCCATGTTCTGCAAACCATTCATTTCCAATGGACCTGGTAGTGGAGAAACGGTTCCTTAAGGTCAATAATCTTAGGCGGAGATCTTCACGGTCTGTTGTTCTACGGCGACGTCCAGTGCCCCTTGCTCTTTGCGTACGGTCTTCTCGAAGACATGCCTGACAACACCTAAATACAGTGTCTACACTTCTTTGCACTCTAACTGCAATTGCCCGAAAAGAAAGTCCAGCTTCCCGAAATCCACTATACGGCCCCTATCAAACTCACTAAGTTGACGAAATCGTACAGGTCTCCGTACTCTAGGCATCGTAACCGATCGTAAAGGATGTCAAGAACCAAAATCCGCCAACGTTGACTCTTCACTGCGGCTGAAATATTCATTTTTAGAGCGTTAGTGAATTAAAAAAAAGCAGTATAAAAACCGGAATGTCCAACTGATAAGGCTGAAAATTTTTTCACTTGTTATTTACAGTAAGATAAATACATTCGCCAACTTTTATTAAAATAAAACCATTTAAACTGGGTGTTCGAATTTATATGTCACTTAGTATATGTTACAAAACAATCCGATTAAATGATTTTTTAACAATCATCAAAGAATCTGTGTCATGATACACAACCCTCTGTATAAGCCAGCTATCCTTTTTTCATCGATCATCAGCAAGGCAAAAAATTACACACCGAATGAAAAACTGAAACATGAATGTGATACACGTTTTTCGAAAATAGCATTAAAGAAGGTGTATCATGATACAGGACACGCAGTATAAACTAACTATTCTTTTTTGTTTCGATTGCCTGCGGAGCAAAGCACACGCACACGTCGTCTATCCCTCTCACACATACACACGTACATGCAGCCACAATCTGCTCTGATGGATGGTGATTATTAGGCTCACGTGTAACACCGTGTAAATAATGATATAATGTCTATATCCATCATAATATATGTGACGTGTCTATAAAGCCGCAACCACGTTCTTGGTGTTTACGGCGTTTCCCGTCTCGTTTCTCGCCTTTTTGTCATCACATCACCGGGTTTTGTGGAGGATTTGTCATTATTATTTCTGATTATGCGATATCGGGGGATTTTCTGGAATATCAGGAAGTTTTACCTGCTCCACAGAAATGGCTGTTATCTAACGGATGATAAAGGTGCACGCCCATTGAATGCTGAAACCATCTGTACAGCAATTTCAAGGTAATGTAAACCTGGTAGCAAAAACTGGAGCTTACCGTACACGATTATTTGTGGCGTTTTTTTTGCTCTACATGGACGAAGATTAATACACATCTGCATGCGCGCGAACCAATTTTCGAAGCACTTATTCCACTCGTTTGCTGGCGGATCCAAAACGGCATTTTTGAATGCGTCAACTGCTTCTTCTGGTGACTACGCAGTCTGTTTTCAATTTTCGGGAAAGTAAAGAAATCGTTAGGACTTAGATCGGGACTATATGGAGGATGGTCCAATAATTCCACGTTTTCTTCCGTTAAATACTGCCTTGTTTTTTGGGCTGTGTGCGAGCTTGCATTGTCTTGGTGAAGGATGATTCTTCTTTCGGGGTTGATTTTTCGAAGCTCGGTGATGACTTTTGGCAAACAGATGGTGGTATACCAATCCGCAGTAACGGTTCTTTGCTCGTTAAGAGGAATTATTGCAATATGACCCGCTTTTGACACAAATGTCGCGACCATCTTTTTCGAAACATTTCGAGAACGGATGACTTTTGTTGGCTTTTCTTCACCTTGGAACACCAAAACAGCCGACTGTCGTTTATTTTCTGGTTCATAACAGTAAATCCACGATTCATCACCACTAACAATGCTGTTAATATTTTTTGAGTTTCTGGAATTGAAACGGTGAAGCGTTTTTTGACACCAATTAACCCTGGCTGCTTTCTGCTCTTCAGTCAACAGGTGGGGTATCCAACAAGCAACTAATTTTCTTACTCCTAATTCTTCATGTAAAGTTTTTTGAATTGAGGTCTTTGAGATCTTCAAGGACGCCTCAATCTCGCGATATGTCACATGTCTATCTTCAATGATGAGTTTGCGCACAGCATCGACGTTTTCCTGGGTGATTGCCGATTTTGGTGCACCCACCCTGGGATCGTCGCTAAGACTCACCCGTCCCATACCAACGGGAAATTGTCGACTGATGTGGCGCTTCGTTGCCGAAAACAGACAGTAACTCAGCAAGGCATTCTTATTGTGATAATTGTCTCTGAAAGTTGTAATAAATTATGGCGCGAAAATGTTCTCGGTTGAGTTGCATTTTTCTAATGACTTGGTGACACTTAAAAATTCACTGTAGTGAGAACACTGCACGTATTGTTGTGAAACTTTGAATTTAAGTTTACTAAAGAGTGAGGTTAAGATTCAGTACTGACGTTCGAGCCGCGCGGCCTACTATGTTTCTATATGCAAAAAAGACCTGTATTGCTTATCCTGACATTATGTCGTTTTTTTTGACATCATATTTTTTTTTGTGACATTATGTAGGTTTGTATACAAGATGTTAGCTTACCACTAGCTGATGGACACTTGTTGTGAACTCGTTTTGTAGTTGTACGTGTTGCCTAAACGTCATGATGCTTCAGTTACCAATGCTTGGCTCTGATGTGATACTACTATTCGTCATTTGCTTGTCTGGGCGGTCCGTAGGACCTTTGCCCATTAGTCACTGTCTAATGTACGTTAGTAGAATCTGTCAGTACTGGTTGCCCAGAAACCTGACAATGTCAAGGAAATAGAGAAGGGGAAAGAGAAGAAAAATGGAGAAGAGCAAAGAAAAACAGAAGTTTAGTTTAAGAGGAGATACCTAGGCCTTTTGACTTGGTACACGGATTAATTTTGAGTGCTAAAAGTTCGCGCTAATTTTTGATTACAGTGCGAGCCGTGGCCTTGAATGTTTAAGAACTTGTTCCACTGTGTAGTCCACTCAGTCGCGCAACAGAGGGTTGCTGTGCGATTCCGCTTGACTATAACGTCGCTGCGGCTCAAATTTGACATAGTCCCTCAAGTAAGGAATGTCAAGTTTGCAAAGTTCTACTTTGCAGTACTTGAATGCTTTGCATATGTATCTTGGCAAGAAAACACCAAGCCGCACATGCATAAGTAATGGCTGGTCTAATAATCATTTTATATGGGCGAACTTTGTTTATCAAACTCAATTTGGAGGATCTACATAACAAAGGCTATAGTTGCCGAAACGCAATTTGGAATTTTGTTTTCAAGGCTGCTGTATGTTTCTGCCAGGTCATGCCTTTATCAAGGGTGACACTGAGGGACTTGGCAGAATTTGTCCATGGTACACGATTGCCGTCTACAGATACCTCTGCTGGGGGCCGCGACGTTTTTAGGTACAATAAATAGCCTGCGTTTTCGAATGATTAATTTTAATCAGCCACCGTTCTGCCCACTCTAGTACTTCTTCCACCGCACTCTGTAACCCAACGTGAACCAGATCACCAGTACATGACTGGGCGACAAGTGCGGTGTCATCAGCATAGAGGTAGACTTCACAGTTGCATGGGCAAGGGACATCATGGATAAAAAGCGAATAAAGGATTGGTCCTAGGACGGAACCCTGAGGAACACCGGCCCATACTGGCCGTATTGTTGACAAAACATTGTTAATTTTGATCCGAAACTTCCTTCCTTCAGGAATGGATTTCAGTAATTTTAGAAACCAAAAAGGAAAACCTTTTTGGATTAGTTTATAAAGGAGGCCCGCGTGCCACACCTTGTCAAAGGCTTTTGAGACATCCAAAAGCAAGATGCCAGTAGTCATGCTGAGGGTGTACCCTCTGGTTCATGTTCCACTAGCCTGACTGCCTGTAGCTCGGTGCTATGCTCGAACCGAAAACCGAATTGAACGTCAGGAATCACATGGTGATTTAACG